ATTGTTTTCTGGATTCTCGATGAGAACTCATCTCTTCCGTTCACTTTCTTTCTTTTTTCCCAAAATTATCAAAAAAGAAAATTTTTTAGAAAAAAAGGATCTGTGGGAAAGAGTGGATGAGATGCAAAGAATTCTATTTGAAAATTTCTATGTAATAATACTGCATAAATACAAATAAAACAAGGCTGAGCCAGTGATAATATATATATATAATCAAAAAAAATTTTTAACCTATTTAATTTGTATAAAATATTTATTTTAAAATTTTTTTCTATTATATTAAAAATTTTAAAGCAAGTTAGTCTTTATATTTTTTTAACTTATATTCAAGTATTCATAATAATTAAATAAAATTTATTAAAAAAATTAAATTTTACCACTACTGTAAAAGAAAATGTGGTGTCACCGTAGATCGCAAAAAACTATAAATGTAAATCTAATTTACTTTCAAACCTGGTAACAATGGCAAATCTTCTTGACAAACTTTTCAAAGACTTTAATACTTTGCTTGAATCGGATAGTGATCAAGACGTTATTTTGAAAATTGGAAAATACCCAGACCAGAAGAATTTTAAAGCCCATTCTCTAATTCTGAACATAAGGTCATCACATTTTCGTTTAGAAATTTCGAAAAGTTTACTAGATAATAAACCCATAACTATCGAAGAACAAAATATTTCGCCCAATGTATTTGAAATTATTTTGAGGTACTAGTTTTCTTATTTATCACGCGTCTAAAATTTAAAGCCTGATTAAATGAAAATTTTATAGATACTTATATACTGGGATTATTAACTTGGACGAATTATTATTAATGGACACCATTGACCTTTTATCGGCGGCACATGATCTAAGTTTGAATGAACTTTCTACTTATATTCAGGAATTCTTGATTGAAAAAAAAACTAGATGGCTTCGCGAAAGTTTTGTAGTCATACTCAACACTTATTTTCAACAAGAATCATACCCCAAACTAGCTCGATTCTGTGAGAAACACATCATATCGAATGCTTTGGAAATTCTAACATCCGAGGATTTAAATTTTTTGAATAGAGAAGTTCTGAAGCTCGTATTAAAAGCTGATTTCCTCGCAGGAGAAATTAGCGAAGTCGAAATTTGGATGAAGTTAGTTAAGTGGGGGATTTCAAACGCTTTACCTACAGATATTAGTTGTGATATTTTAAATATGAATTCGTCACAAATTGAAAGCTTGAAGGAGGCTTTGAATGAATTGATTCCCTTAGTTAGACTTTTCCACATCACCCCTGAAGAATATTATCAATTTATCCATCCCCATAAAAAAATATTGCCTAAAGAATTAAAAAAAGATTTGATAGGATACTACATTTCTAATCAAAGAACGCGAAGCCCTATTATACCACCTAGAGTCTGTTCTGTTACTCTTACATTCGAAGCGGCTCTTATAATAAAAAATTGGATAAAGAGTAATGCTGATCAGCTGTCTTCACCTGATATCGATATTTTGGATGAACACAACGGAAGAATGGGTTGGAAGCTAATTCATAGAGCAAGCCGCGACGGGCACCTTTTATCAGATTCCCTTAGTAAATATAATAATAGTTCGTTTGTTATAGCAATTAAAATTAAGGATCAACAGGTCATAGTTGGAGGTTATAATCCATTGATGTGGTACGAAAACAATAATTTATTTGTGGAGAATGTTCGCACGAAAGAAAGTTTTATATTCCAATTAGATACATTGGAATTGAAAAAATCAAAAATATGCCGCGTTCGAAAAGATAAATATAGCTCAATTACGAAGACACTTAGTTCTTTTGCTACTGAAGTTTTATCCAGGCATTTACCCGTGCAGGATTTAATTATTCGACGTAATCCAGAGTTCAAATATTATTGCAAAACTGGTGGGACTTACGAAGATGGGATCAATGTAGGTAATTTTTACGCAGAAGACTACGAAGTTTTTCAAGTTTGTGCAAACTAACATTATATTGACATATTGTGAGATATTTTTAATTTTTTATTATTACAATATTTTATTTTAAGTATTAGTGTTTAGCCTTTATTATTCGCTGATGATATTTTTTTCCAGTCATCTGACTTAAATTCATTGTGATACTTTATCTATATTAACCTGTGAATATGTGAAAGTCAAATAATTTACGTAAAGCTTCGCTTAAAAATCTATTAATGTTGCAAACAAGGCACTGTTATATTTATGTATCTTTATATCGTCCAAAAGACGACAATCGAAGACAATTCTGTGATGTCAATCGTTTTAAAAATAAGGTGATTAGAATGGGAGGTCTAGTGGCTTGGATGTTAAAGTTTACTGTAATAACTAGTTCTACTATCACTAAAGCACAGCCATACTAATAATTCTATACAAGCCACCTTCGCCTCACATATTCAAGTCAAGATTTCGTACTTTCTAGTTAAACTCTAGAATCGAAACAGTATTTGGCTTTAATCTTAGATAATCGATAACTAGATGAGATGGAGACACGCGTAAACCTTTTTTTTCAGGTGTTGCCACTCAAACAAGTCAATACGTATTAACTTTGATCACGTGATAATATAATATTCAACGTATGCAAGTCACTATAAATACACGTGATCACGCGTAAGCGTGGACGCAACTGACTTATCTAACTCGGCATACAGTATTTCAAATAAACTTCGAGATATCCGAGACAGACAGTATATTATCAAGCAATCGAAATACTATACAAACTAATTATGTATAAAACGCTGTAAAAGTCAATGTAAAAGCAGATAGATGGAAGTTAATAAAAGTCCGTTGTGAACGAAAAGTAAAGTCGAATCCTAGGGAGCAAGTAGAGGCACTTATGTGACCAGATATAAACGCCTTTTTCTGCCTTATCGTGTGTATGATCGTACTCCTTCACTGACAACCAGATTACTTAAATATTTAATATAAATAAATTGGCAATATCGCAGTCGCTGACTTGCCGGAAAAATATGTTCTTTTTTGTCTTTATTATTTAAATGATAGTTTATGAAAGCCAAGTTTAGAAATTTTATTCCTTTTAGCTCTTGAACAGCACTTGGATGTATTGACAATTTTCTAAAAAATTTTTATATACAATAAACAAAAGTAAAAGAAAATCTCGTTTGTGTATTGTATTGCAGTAAACGTGAAACGCTTTCAAGCCTCACACACATCGTGATATGGGAGTGTAACTGAAATAATAGTTAGGATTATAAGCCATTGACTTAAGCCACCTTAGCCTCTTTATTTTTTTTTGTACAAAGAGTTGATTCGATAAAATAAATTCAGAACAAAACCGGCAATAGCTCAGTTGGTAGAGCGGGAGACTGTAGTGAGCTTATATGCTTAAACTGATATCTCTAGGTCGCTAG